AGCGTGAGCTCTTAACAACGAGGCTGCTGGTTCGACTCCTGCATGGGATGGTGGCTACGCCCACCCGCAACTGATTGAACACAGCACCTTGAGCTGAGCGGTGCGACTGGACTTGGAGTTGAACTTGCTGTGACCTCCACAACTAAAGATTGAAGGACAACAACTTGGCTGTTCCCCTTCCCCAATTCCCCAACACTGTTCCCCTCTCCCAATCCCCCAATTAAAAAAAAAAAAAAAAAGTCAGACTTGATCCTGTTTCCTGGTTGTCTTTAAGAGGCCTCACGGGGCCTTGATGCTCCATAGACAATGTCTTTTTTAATAGGAGAGTGCTTCTGGGAGAAGGGAAGCAGCTTGCCTTTCTCTGGAATCCTGACTACTGGTACTACCTAGGACACTGGGTCTTATGTTGAGAAGCAGCTTAGGATTTACAATTAAAATGCTCATAGTTTCCAGAAACACAGGGAAGGCATTAAGGAGAAAGAGATGGGCAGAGGTGGAGACATCTGCTCGGTGTGGCCAGACTGTCCATGGGGAGAACGAGCTAGAAGAAAATAGGAGAAGAGGTAATGTAAGACTGGTTGTGGAGGCATGCCAGAAAGAAGTCATATTACATCACTGCAAAGGAGATGCCTATAGACGTGACTTTAGTTTTCTGTAGGAAAAGCAATGCCAGCCATATATTTTATAGGATTGGATGTTTGGGTGAAGAAATTTCCCTTTTGAGACTAGATTTAGTTTTCCCCTCCTATAAAATGTTTTGTTCATGTTTTTTATTTAATTCAACATTTCCAGCTTTATAACAACTTGAGCTGATTATTCTAGCATATGTAATATTTTCAAAAGAAAAAAGTCCTGCGAAAGTCTCAGTATAGGATGTTTCTACAATGCAATTAATAATTTCCCCTTTCGTACCAGGGAGCCACAGAGTTGGCTGGACTTATTAGGGGAACAAGGATACTGGCTCTAATATTTCAATGAACTATGCAACAAACAATGCCATTCTACCATTATGCCTCTATTTCCTAAGTCTTGAGGGGACAGAGCATTCATCCATTCCACAAATATTTATTTAGGACCTATTTAATCAGGTGATTGATAAATACAATTGTTGTCAGGCAAATAAACAAATATGCAGTTATTAAGGGCACTGATTTGGAATTAAATAGTTCTGGGTTCAACTCTTGGTTTTGTCTCTTAACCATGTAACATACTTTACCTTGTACAACCTCCACTTTCTCATTTGTAAAAGGGAGATGAGAATGCCTACCTCTTTGGGGTATTGTAAGAATTATAAAGGGTAAGTTATATATTACTACTATTATTATTCTTAATAATATTTTGGAATTTTAGAGTGTCCTCGTATCATCAAAACACCCTTGTGATATATCAGTGATTTTAGAATTGTCAGACAACACAGAAAAATAACAAGATATGTGACAAGCCCTGAGGTCTGGGGAAGGCCGGGCACCTGAGGTCTTAGGACATAGCAGAGATGGACAGAATATTAGGGACAGGAGGCCACAGACATTCATGTGGAGTCATTGCAACATGATGTCTCAGGTGTGCTCTGTTCTCGTGATTGGATGTAAATGTAAAGAACTACTGTGTCCTTGGAGTTTCTCAACCAAACCTGCTTCCACTGTTATTGCTTTCTCTGCTAGATTTCCTTGGTTGTTGAGCCCCCAGATATGCAGGAAGCACTGAAGTAGATCAACGATACACAGAATTCTGACAAAATGCAGTGCTGCATCCAAGCCTTGCCTTGGTGAACCTTGCTGAGCAGTGACCACCGGAAGCTGGTGTTCTCCTGCTCTTCTCTTGCATATCCTCAGAAAAAGAATAAGGAAGTCAAAAACAACGTCCTTGACTTCTAGTGGACTGACTCTCCAATTTGTCCTGGCAAACTGGACTTGCCAGCAGACACGAGTGAGCTCTGCCTTAAAATTTCAGTCTCTGGGTCCTGACCTATTTGTAATATAATGAAAAAGGCATTGGCTTGTTGTAAAATACAGAGTATGGGAATGTTTAATTACCAAATGGAACAATTAACCAAACCAGTTTCCTGGCTCATGAGCAATAATGTCACCCATTTCCTATGTCTTGCTCCTGGGGATAGGACAGAAAGGGCATCATCTTGTTTTTCCTCCTTTAGAGCTTTTAGTGAATAACTTGGTAATGGTGTTTTCAAGGATTCTCAGAAGGACCTTGGCCATTTTCCTTCAGGCAGTTTCTTCTGTTACTTATTATTTCTTGGTAGTTAAAAAACAAACAAGTCGTCAGTATGAAAAACTTAGAAAGTATAGGTAAATAAAATGGGAAAAAAATGCATCCAAATTCTCACTCTACTTCCTGTGGCCTTTACCAGTAGACAACACGGAATGTATTGCTCACTCTTATACACTCTGCTTTGGATTATGGCATTTGACCACCATCCTAACACTTACCCCCATTTCACAGATGAATGAACTAATAATTAGAGAGTTTGTGGAATAAAACCAGGAGACCAGGACTTGATCTGAGGCGGTGTAACTCAAGACAGGCAAGCATGTAGCACCGCTGGGCTGTACCAGACCCAGGACTGAAGGTTGATGGTCATTAAAAATCATTAAAAAGAATTGCGAGAGGACAACAGTTAATGATTTATGCTAACTATGACCTTTTCCACAGTCCAGGGGAATAGCCCGAGAGTCCACACCCTTCCCAGTGGCCCCACGTAAGGCCATGGTCTTAGGCACTGTCCCTAACCCTTTGCCACCATCTCCATTTGAACATTTCTCAAAAGTGCTTCTGTGCGCTGTGATGCTTCACTGGCTTACGGGAAAATCCAATGTTTTCCCTGCAGGAATCACATCCACTCTTCCTCTAGCAGAATATTTTCCCATTTCTGAGTTGTTTCTTTTAGAGCAGATCCTGAAGTGGTGATGAGTGGGCTGAGGGGACACTTTATTCAGATACTGAGGGGTACCCTGTAACCTATAGAACTGTGGTGTATATGATGCAAGGGAATGACTTAAAAAAAAAATATATATATATATTAGTTCTTTCTTTTTTTGTTCCTTTTATAGGGACATTTTCCATCTACAGCCACAGACATCCTTGTCTCACAGACAATCAGGATTTTAACAACAGAAATGCAAACACGTAAAGGGTCAACCTATTTGACATTTCAAATAGAATTCCTGAGTCCACAATGGTCCTGAAAGCCAAGCTTTGAAAGGGAGAAAAAGATTTTTAAATCTTAGGGCCCAATCTGAAACCTTCATATAAGGCATCAAGGAATGAAATGTCCGTTGCCTATTGGAGTTGAAGGAAGAGGGGAAGAGAGGTTTCCCCAAGACTGCTAGAGGGGCAGGGGGTTTCTGCAAGTGGCTGAGGGCAGTAGCTTGCTTGCATTCATGTCTTGTGTGGCTGGTTTTAGAGAGGGTAGGTTCTGGAAGATTCTCATGGGTAGGTTTGGCACAAAGGGCAGGTGACACATCTTGAGGTGACCAAGGGCGTGGCAAGCACAGATGGCCCACATGACCCTAGGACCCTTGCACAATCATGGGGGAGGAGGCGTGGCTCCTTGAAGAATGAAGGAGAGTAGATTTTGCATGGGTAGTGTCCAAGTCAGGTTTATTTTAAGAAGAATAAAGGATTATAAGAGTTCTTGACAGTATGGGAGAGTGATTAACCCAAGGATGGGGTTTGAGTCATGAATGAATCTAAAAGGGACTAATTAGTTCCCAGAAAGTAGAAGGAAATGGCAGAGGGTTGATGAAATCTGGAGAATTTCAGTTTATAGTTTCTCCTTAAGCTAGTCCTATGATTCCAGTGGACTTGCCTTAACTTCTAGTGCTACTCAGACACTAATAAAGATCAAGGTTGATAAACATAAGAAAGAGAATGCCAGAGTCTCTCTACTGGGTTAGGACATTTTTTGCCGTGTCAGGCGTGTATGCTTAGCTTTGGGTTCGTGTGTCTGGGCTGGTGAACTCCTTTCCCACGCCCCACTCTCCTCCACCCTGAGTTCTGTACATTCCTGTGGCACAGGGAAACTGTCCTTGGTTGATGCCCCATAATTAGCATAGTGGAATGTTCAGTGAACTCACAGGGATCTAAACAGTCTGAGCACGAATCCCATACAAGCTGTTCCAAATAGTATTTTTAGTATGGTCAGGGCTTAGTACCCACAATCCCCTGTACAGGTGAAAAACTATGAGCACATGGCTTGAGTTGAATGCAGGTTGAAACATGGGCCCCAACCACCCCTCCTCCATGCACCTTTGGGCAGTCCATAAAGCACACGACTATTTGCATGGGCAAAACAGGTAATATGCTGCTGCATGTAAGACACACAGAGCACTCGACTCCTGTTTGCTCAGAGCTCACAACTGAAGACAGTGTGGGCAGACAGCAAATCAAGGTTAGTTTGTCACACTTAAAGTAATACCAGGTAGCTGGATGTAACTTGTACTTCCACCAGTCTCCCAAGTTGTCACCGCTGCCATCCTAAAAGCACCCCTTTCCATAGTTGTCAGTTTTTTTCTCATGTCAAGAGAATTTCCCATACTTAAGGGTTCACTGGGAAGCACGCTTAATTTTTTTAAAAATATTTTTATTGGGGAATTGGGGGGTGGGAACAGTGCTGGGGAATTGGGGGAAGGGGAACAGACAACTTGCTGTCCTTTTTTTTGTTCTTCAGTCTAGCTGTGGAGAACATTGCTTCACTGGCCCAAGTTAGCACCATCATTGCGCTCTTCCCAGGCGAGGGAGATCAGTCGCCGGCTTCTGGACGGCCACTCACAGTGGCTGCTGGCCACTCACGCTGGCTGCGGACTACACACATGGGAGCCCATGGCAACCCACTGCCACAGGGGCTGCAGCCTACGCCATCGCCGGCGACTCACGGCAGCCCAGCTCCAGGTTGATGTTGTTCAGCATCTTAGCTGTAGAGGGCAGTGTCACTGGCCCTCATATGTGGGATCCGAACCGGGGCCCTCTGGTGTTCCAAGCCAGCTCTTAACCAATGTGCCACTTGGCCGGCCCGCAAGCTTAACTTTAAAAAAAAAAATTGTGGTGAAGTATATACAACAAAATTTATCATTTTAACCATTTTTGATTTAGTACATTCATAGTATTGTGTAACCATCACCACCATCCATCTCTAGAACTTTTTCATCATCTCAAACTGAAACTCTGTATCCCTTAAATTAAAAACTAGCTCCTCATTCCCCTCTCCCCTCAGCCCCTTAACTTCAAATATGATGAGGATAGTATTTTTTGAGTGATAATCATTTCTTGCTGACTTTCTTATATGCAACCCTCCTTTGATTCAGCCAGAGGTACTCCTTGCTTTGGGAAGTGTTAGGATGATTAAAGGAAAAGTGAAATGAAAAAGAGTCAAATGTTCAGGCTCTAACTTCCAAAAGTACTTTTTAAAAAAAGATTTTATTGGGGAATTGGGGGAGGGGAACAGTGTTGGGGAATTGGGAAAGGGGACCGACAAGTTGCTGTCCTTTAGTTTGTTCTGCAGTCTAGTTGTGGAGGATGTCGCTTCACTGGCCCATGTTGGTATTATGATCATTGTGCTCTTCCCGGGTAGGGCAGTCACTCGCTGGCCATTGGACAGTTGCTCACAGCGGCTCACGGTGGCTCACGGCAGCTCACAAAAGCTCACGCCCACTACCGGCCAGCCCCACTGCAGCCTACACAGTCACCAGGGACTCATGGCAGCCCAGCTCCCGGTTGAGCTGTTGTTCACCATCTTAGCTGTAGAGGGCGCAGCATCACTAGCCCTCATCTGGGATCTGAACTGGGGCCTTGATGCTCAGAGCTGACGTCCCAAGCCAACCCCTAACCAATGCGCCACTCAGTTGGCCCCCAAAGTACTTTTGAGCTCCTGGCTTTCAATAAAAATCCAGGCTTTTCAGAGCGAGACAAAGGTCCTTCCAAATTCCAAAAGCTAACTCAAGATAAGCTTGTCTTTTACTGTACACATTTTTAGGAGATGAAAAAAAATCACCAAGCAGCATAATAAGTATTTAAAAAAATATTTAAGTGGCTATTGTGGGTGAGTATCAAGATTTCTGTTTAACGTGGAAGACAGAACAAGGATGGGAAGTTCAGGCGGCAAGGGTCAGCGCATTTATGAATTAAAATCTGCTTTTCCAAGTCTCTATCTTGGGACTGTTCGAGGATAGATTGACTTACTCTTGTATTTTTACACTTGATCTTAGCCAAAAGGCCAAGAAGCGATGACTCTTGTATTTTTATGGTGGGGTCATGCTCTCCCCAAACTGCATGACTTCCATGTTTCCTCCTAACACTGAGATCGTGTGATTTTGTTTTAAGTGCAACTATAATTATGGTGCTTCCTAAAGTGTGGTCCTGTCTATGGAAAGTAGGTGAGTTTTATAGTTTTCAGTGGATGGAATCAACATGGACACAAAATGTTTCATGGAAAGGGGCCTATGGGGTTATCCCCATGTTTCTACACACAGCAAATAGCAAAGGCTTCTGGGTAAAAACAACAACAACAACAAAATGACAATAAAATTTAAAGCCACGCTCACCATAAAAAACAGGTCACTAGTTTGATGAAATGAAGAAAAATAAGGACCACTGGGTGATTTCCCCCCCCCCTAAGATTACATTATTCAATTGAAAGAAATGTCTATTATTGTAACATTAAAACTTTTCAATTTTTTTAATCTTTTTTTTTTAGGCATTACAATGTTTTTAAAAATTGAAGGAGGGGATGATTGGTGGTAGCATTTGATAGTTGTCGCTGTTTCTAAGTGGTCTTACTTTGCAAAACAGAGTGTCAGTTTCCCGTGTTCTTTATTGAAATTGTACTATTCCATGAAATTCCCACAGTGTGGAAACCACTGGCACAGGGTTCACAGTCAGTAAGACATATTCTTTATTGGAAAACAGCTTCCTGCTACAGCTTTGGGGGCAGAGAGAAGTAAAATTCATTTTTATTTCTTATTTTCAAGATAGCATTCCTGCCAAAATGATGAAAGAGAATCCAATCAAGAGTTTATGGAGGAAGGGCCGGCTGAGTGGTTCAGTTGGTTAAGAGCTCGCTCAAGAGTTTGAGCTCTGAGCAACAGCGGTTTGATTCCCTGCCAGAGCTGAGCTGCTGCTGAGCTGCCAATGGGTGGCAGAATGGCTCAGCTAAAAAAAAAAAAAAAAAAAATTTATGGAGGGAAAAGTTCAATGTCATCAGGAGAAAGCAATTGGATGAATTCACAAATCAGAACAGTCTACAAAGGTAAATAACAGGTTTTGCATTTTTACCCTAGTGCTGGGTGTTCTCTGAATCAGAGGCCTTTAGTGGGGGTCTTCACTATTTACTGCCTGTGTTGACTGATAAAGCCCTCCAGTAATTTCCCAGTACCAAGGTGGGCAGGGATATGGCTGGATGGCTGACTCCCAGGTGCAGCAATATTCAGAGATAGGAGAACTGGGAACCCTGGGCCAGATGGCAGGGGAGCCACGCAAAGAGAAGAGACCAGAACACCGGTAAGGCTGCCTTCCCAGTGAGAGATGCCTGCATAGACATCAAACCAGATGGAGAAACACATCGACCGTAACACACTGGTCCACAACTGTTGACAATTAACGAGCATTTAAAATAAGTCACTGGATAAGAGAACTCCACATGTCAGAAAATCCTACAACTTACATACGAAAAAAATGGAACTTCATAAATATTTCCCTGATTTGAAAGTAATCCTAAAATTTTGTATGGCATTATAAAAAAATGAGTTTTGAAACTGAAACTTTTCTAAACTATCAATAACTATAACTAATAGTTTTTGTCTCTCACGATGGTGGAAAGATTGAATTTTCTTTTTATTCTTGCTCAGAGAGTGATATTCTAAAAGCAAAAACTGTATTAAAATGTATTTAAGGCATGTCAATAGTTAATAGATAAAAATGTTTCCTGGGGAAAAAGAAAACCCCATAGAGAACAACACAAATGCAATTTTTTTGCTCTGCAAGAAATGCTTCTCTGCTTGGATTTTAATTGCAAGTGACAAAATCCAAAAGTAAACGTGTCATGTCCAGTCCAGCATACAGAAAAAATGTGCATAAAGGTGTTTATTCCAGCTTTATTTATAATAGTGGAACTCCTGAGTGTTTCGTGGTCGGGAGGTTAAATCAATTGGGATATGACAGCACTGTCGTAGTGTTATGCATCCATTAAAACTGATGTTTCTAAAGAGCTTCTAATAACATAGAAAAATAGCTGTCATAGTATTAGGTTAAAAGAAAACAAGCTATAAAAGTGTACGTTTTGTATGGTTTCAGTTACATTAAAATATGTTATAAAAAATAGCCAAAGGGATAAAAACTCTCATTGCATCAAATTGCCCGGAAAGCCAAGAGCACTGCCAAGTCGGGGAGGTCCAGCGCGGAGGGCTGTGGGTTGCTGACTTCAGAGCAGCGCAAGGCAGGAGGAGCAACACTCAGCGTTCTCCTTCCCAGAGAGTGTTGGTCAGAGTCAGGTGATAGAGAGGAGGCAGGGCTGACCTCCTTCTAGGGAGACTGGCCTTCCCTTGTTGGGAGACAGAAAGAATACGAGGGGTGCTGGCGGTGACTCACCCTGAGGGCTCTGCAGAGCCGGTGGGGCTCACAAGGCCGGGATAGGGCGTGGAGGTGTGGGGAGAAGAAAGCTCTCCTGATGCTCTGTTAGTCACCTTGCTTGTGGGAAATGGGTGCTCAAGGCTGAATCAGTGAGAATCAAGGCTCCTGGATGGAAGGACAGATTCTCTTTATGTCCTGAGACGCCCTCACCTCAAGAAGTAGAGACACACACAAACACACACACTTATACACAATACACACCCCACACTCATTCACACAGAAACACACACTTATACACAATGCACATATCACTCACTTATACACACATCACACACATGCTTATATACAATACACACACCACACACACACTTATACACAATACACACTCCACACACATAAGCACACACTTATACACAATACACACATCACACACATACACACTTATACAAAATACACATATCACACACATACACACTTATACACAGTACATCACACACACAACTATACACAATACACACAATACACATACAAATGCACAAACATACACATATATACAATACACACATCACATATATACTTATACACAAGATGCACAACACACATACACATACACAAACACATTTATACATAATACACACATGAACAAACATACTGACATACACATATGCACACACTCCCACACAAAAACACATTTATAACATATGTGCACACATACACTTACATATAGGCACACATACACATTTATCTGCACATGTACACATACAACACACATACACATACACTCACGCACACACTTATGCACATATAAGCAAATGTACACATATGCATGCGCACTTACACAACACACACGTGCATGTATACACTTATGACACACATATACACATGAAGGGGTTCTATCTAAGGAGACTCCCAAAGATATCCCACTTTGACACATGGTTTATTTTGCCTGAAGACAATCAAGATCCAGCAGATTGAAGAAAAACTTTTACCGCTCCCTTAATTACCTAGAAGTATTTAGTTAGGAGATGAGGGCAGGCCCAGAAAAAGAGCTATTGCCAGAGGTAACATTTCATCTGAAAGTCCCATCTGTATGGCAGGGCAAATATCTGCTTTTCTCATTGTTCTGTAATTACCTGTCTCCCCTTTGAAACCCCAGGCCCCCATCACATTCCTTAGCTCAGGTTTGGCATATAAGCCTCAACTGCCCAACTGGCCCTTGAGTCTCATATTTTTATGGGGCTTGTAAAAAAAATAATAATGGGGGCTGGCCCAGTGGCTCAGTTGGTTAAGAGCATGAGCTCTGAGCAACAGGGTCGCTGGCTCATTCCCACATGGGCCAGTGAGCTGTGCCCCAGCTGAGCTGCCGCTGAGCTGTCAACTGGTGGCAGGATGGCTCAGCTGGTGAGAGCACGTGCTCCTAACAACAAGGTTGCCGGTTGGACTCCTGCATGATGATGGGCT